CCTACCAAAAGCAATATACAGATTCAATGCTATTCCAATCAAAATCTCAATGGCATTCTTCAAAGAAATAGAACAATTATTGATGAAATTCATATGGAATCACCAAAAACCCCGAATAGCCAAAGCTCTACTGAAAAAAAAGAAGGAAATGGAGGCATCACACTCCCAGACTTCAAACTATACTACAAAGCCATAATCATCAAAACTGCATGGTATTGGAACAAGAACGGACATACAGACCAATGGAATCGAATAGAAAATCCAGAAATAAACCCACAGATTTATGGTCAACTAATCTTTGACAAAGGAGCAAAGACTATGCATTGGAGCAAAGAAAGTTTGTTCAATAAATGGTGCTGGGAAAACTGGGTCGCTACATGCAAAAGAATGAAGCTTGACCACTACCTCACACCATACACAAAAATCAACTCAAAATGGATTAAAGAACTAGACATAAGACCTGAAACCATAAAATACATAGAAGGAAATATAGGCGAAACACTACGGGATTTGCACATCAAAGACATCTTTACAGACACATCACCCAAAGCAGTGATAGTGAAGAGAAAGATAAACAGCTGGGACTACATCAAATTAAAGAGCTTCTGCACAGCAAAAGAGACAATAACAAAAACAAAGAGAAACCCCACCAACTGGGAGAACATTTTTGCACCCAACACTAATGATAAAGGACTGATCACAAAAATCTGCAAAGAGCTGATGAGACTCAGCAACAACAAAGAAAATAATCCAGTCAAAAAATGGGCAGAAGAGCTAAAAAGAAACTTCTCTGAAGAGGAAATGCAAATGGCCAACAGGCATATGAAAAAATGTTCAACATCACTTGTAATCAGGGAAATGCAAATCAAAACTACCATGAGATACCATCTCACACCAGTGAGAATGGCACATATTAAAAAACTAGCAACAACAAATGTTGGCGAGGATGTGGAGAAAAAGGAACTCTTGTGCACTGTTGGTGGGAGTGCAAACTGGTCCAACCACTATGGAGAGCTGTGTGGAGATTTCTGGACCTATTAAACATAGAGCTTCCATATGATCCAGCAATTCCACTCCTAGGTATTTACCCAAAGGACACAGAAACATCAATTCCAAAGAGCACCTGCACTCCTATGTTTATAGCAGCACTGTTTACAATAGCTAAGCTTTGGAAACAGCCCAAATGCCCAAAATAGATGACTGGATCAAGAAGATGTGGTACATATATACCATGGAATATTACTCAGCATTCAAAAAAGATAAACACATGCAATTTGCAGCAACATGGATGGCACTGGAAGGGATCATGCTCAGCGAAATAAGCCTAAAAGAAAAAGAAAAATGCCGGATGGTCTCACTCATAGCAGGAATCTAGAAAACTTAAATAAGGGACCAGGAAAATGAATATAAGAAAGTGAAAATCAAAATCAACAAAAAACTATGAACCAGAGACACTTTTTGGGGGGGGGGCGGGAGGGGAAGGATTGGGGTCAGAATGGGGCGTTTGCAATTGTATGGGGGAATATAAAATAAAATTTAATATTTAAAAAAAAAAAAATCCAAAAAAAAAAAAAAAGTACAGGAGTGCCTCTCACAGGAAGGCTACCAAATCTCCAAACACAAGTCAGGCTCAAATATTAGGAAAGCCCATATGCAATGTCTGCGTAGTTGGGTAGAGAAAGGAATAACTCAATGATCATAATTATAATATATAGTGGAAGGTTGTTTATCACAAAAGAAAAATGCAAATGCATTACATCTATGTCAAATTATACATTCTTTTTAAAGCTTATGAAACTTGTCTCCTACTTTGTCATAATTTCCTACTCTCTAGAGACAACTACTATCGATTTTAATTAGCTATTTCTTTTAATATCTTTACATTTCTCAAGTAAATGTATTCAATATTTCTGTTATGATTGCTCATGTATACTTACAGCTGAGTGATGCACTATGAATTACGTTAATCACCTATTTTGCTATATGTTTTTGGCTTAAAATTTAGTTTTCTAAGTAGCTATCACCATTTTATCCCACCTTCTTGCAAAGTGAAAATTTCCTCTCAATACTTTGAAAAATGCCTGGTTACCTATCAATCACTTCCTTCCTTCAGGTCATAACTTCCAACTTGTGGGGCCTCCCTGGTGGCACAAGGGGTGAGTCTCAGCGCTATCAAGCTATCAGTAGCCAGTGCAGCATGAGTTTGATCCCTGGCCAGGGAGTTAACCCATATATGGCACAGCAGACCTCTCCTATCTCACCCACTGCTCTCCTCAGCAGTGTATTTCAGCAGATCTGCCTGTTCTGCTCCCCACTCTGTCTCTGGTGAATCCTCTCACCCCCTGCACCTCTGGCCTACACCCCAGCTCTTGTATGCATAAATAAATAAATCTTAAAAAAAAACTTTCAACATGTTTTAGAGTTTGGTGGGCTCTTCTTCTCCCTCCCCCCTCCCCAGACAATACTTTTGAAAAAGTATTCTCAATTTGCTTGCTCAAATGTGGACTAGTTGTCCAACAGACATGCTGCACAGCTTTCTTCCTGATTCTCTATCTTTTTTGAGCAATGATTGCAAGCTCAAATCATGCACGGAAAGTCTCTTCCTGGCCCTATTCTCTAAACACAATAAAAACCCAAGTCAGTCTCCTTTCTCTGCTCATTCAAGTCATTTTCAGTCCTGCATGGGAGTCACCCCATTCTTCAGAAAACCTCCCTATATGGAAACAGACCCTTCTAATATGTGAGGGCATTATCAGTTTTAAATCTGAACCAAATTTTGGGTGGGGAATCCATTCTGTCTCTCAAAATCAGTTCTCTTCAGAATTTTAAATGCATTTTACCACCACACTCTAGTTTCAGTTGTTTACTCTTGAGAAGTTCAATTCCATTCACATCCTTGATTGTTTAATTGCAATCAAGTATTTTTCTTCAGAAGATGCAGGATTTCTCTCTTTATTCTGCAGATTTTAAAATTACATAATGTTGTGCCTTGGTGTGGTGTTTTTTACGTTCACTGTGATAGGAAACTGTTGGACTCTTTCAATATGTATGACTCATGACCATAAACCATGAACCAGCACAAAAGTAGCAATGAGAATGAATTTCTAGCTTTCTGTGTTTAATATCTGGAAGTAGTATTTTTCAGATGTTACAAACTCTCCACAAAGTGAGTTTAGAGGGGCTGTACCTCAACATAATAAAGGCCATATATGACAATCCCACAGGCAACATTATACTCAATGTGAAGAGCTGAATAGCTTTCCTCTAAGATCAGTAGTAAGATAGGGATGCCCACTCTTGCTTCATTTATTCCACATAATATTGGAAGTCCTAGCTAAAGAAATTAGGCAGAAAAAAGAAGTAAAAGGCATACAAAATAGAAAGGAAGAAGTAAAACTGTCACTATTGGCAGAAGATATGACTTTTTGAAAAGAAAACCCTAAAAGCTCCATCTAAAAACTGTTAGAATAAACAGATTGAGTAAAGCTTAGGGTATAAAATCAATATACAAGTCTGCTATAATTTTATATACTAACAACATTTCACAAAGAGAAATTAAGAAAACAATCCCATTTACAACTGCATCAAATAAAATACCTTGCAATAAATTTAATCAAACAGGTGAAAGATTTAAACAGTGAATACTATAAGACATTGATGGAACAAATTAAAGAAGACACACAAAGAAATGACACACATTTCTATAAACAGCCTTCCATAGCCACCACCTATCTGACATTGCTTCTTAGCTATCTTAAAGGCACCTATACCTTAATGCATTAAAACTTGGATTTATGATTTTTCCCTCAAACTAGATTTTTTTTTCACTTAATGGCAAGACCTTGTATCTAATTATGTCAGCCAGAAGCAGGTGTCATCTTTGATACCTCCAACTCCTTCACTCTATCAAATCCTATCAATTTCACTTCCTAAAACAGCCATCAGAAGAAGTGCCTACTTCTTTCCATTTCTAATGGAAAGTACAAAATGCCATTTTTCTCCTTTAAAAAACAATAGCCTCCTAAGAGGTCTACTTGTATCCACTGCTGTTTCTATACTATAGCTAAAGTAGTATCGATATTATTTAAAAGACTTCAGTGATGGTACAACCTTATCTCCTCACATTTCCTTCTTGTCTTTACTGTACAATGGTCTTTCAGTTCACTTGAACACATAATGTTCAGTCCCAGGTTAGGGTCTTTGCACATGCTGTTCCCTCTGCCTGGATTGCTCTTTACCTGTCTTTTTTGCATAGAAGTTTCTACTCTTCTTCATATCTCCATTAAATTGCCATTCTCTCCAAGTAAATGCAATCAGTTGCACTGAAGTTAAAAACTGGAAACATGGATTTTTATAAGAATTATATGATCCTAGTATTAATGAGCAGATTTGATATGTTTCTGTAATGAGTTTAGATAACTTCTTTAAACAGTCACACATTTTAAGCAAAGCTAGATTATATTTTCTATGAAGTTTGTTGTGATTCCTCAAGAGCATAATAGCCTTTTAAAAAAATCTTTCTTGGGCCTCCCTGGTGGTGCAGCCAGGGAGGTTGAGTGCAGCGCTGTAAAGCTGTCCACAGCCTCTGCAGCACAGGTTTGATTCCCGGCCAGCCAGGGAGATACCCACATGGTGTGGCAGACATCTCCTGTCTCACCTGCTGCTCCCCTCAGCAGTATTTTTGATCGTCTGCCTGTTCTGCTCCCCACTCTGTCTCTGGTGAATTCTCTCGCCCTCCTGTGCCTCTGGCCTGTATCCCTGGGATACAGGCTCATTAATACTTTATTTACTGTATAAATAAATAAATCTTTAAAAATTTTTTAAAAATCTTTCCTTTCAATGCTTAACACAATTGCGATTTCACATTTATTATTACTATATGTGTTTGAGGACTAAGGATGAAGCCCAGAGCAGAAAGGCACAAACGTTCACCTAGGACTAGAAGAAAGGCACATTCTTCCACTAAAATTGGAAGATGGCATTAAGGTACACATGTATACTTTTTGTTTGTAAGGAAAACCCGAGTTCACATCTGACCATCTTACCTGATTCTAGTTCACTATTTGATGAACTACTGTCAAACTGGAGGTTATCTGTCACTGACTCCTACATGAAATAAGAATTAAAAATATAGCACAAATTATGAGGTTTAATATTTTAATATTATAACATTGATTTGATTATTTTGAAAGTGAATATTGACTGTGTAAAGGAGTTTCATTTGCATAATATATACTTTCAGCTTACTGATGACAGGTGTAATTATAGTTAATATTAAATCTAAACATAAACATTAAAATACAATATTGTGAGCATATCAAGGGAGTCAATATAACACACTTGTCAACTAATGTGGGATAAACCAGCAATCAGAAAATAAACGTGAATCTTTTTCCAATTCCCTAGGGAGGAAGGGTTTTTTCCCCTCTAAATATAAAAGCAAAATATATAAATTAAAACATTGATAAGTAAGTCTAAAATACTAGAAACAAAGTTAAAAACAAACAGACATGGGCATATTGTGGTGTAAAAGTATAACTATCATCAATATTTAATAAAAAAATATTTTTAAATAATTAAACAAGGGAAAAATAAACTGTAATAGCATACAAGTAAGTGGAAAGTAAAAAAAAATGCTACGTTTCCTCTATCACATACATATATTTTTTAAGCTTTGAAGATGGTGCAAACTTGTCAACAAAAGTAAAAAATTTTAAATGCAATCCAACCCTTGACACATTACAAAACACTAATTGTATGGTAAAATTTGATGTACATATAAAAATTCTGCAGCCAACCAATATCTACAACAACAAAACTTTGTAAATAATCTCAATCCTCCAACCACAGGAAAGCAGTCATTCAAATTAAAGTATATCCATCAATAACACAAAACGCTATGTAGATGCTAAAATATTACTTGGAAGACTACTTAATATTAGAGGAATATGCAATGAGATAATGTGTAAAATGAAAAACAGCATTAAAAAGGGAATGAAAACTGTAAAAATCAGAACAAATTGTTTAAACACTTCTTTGGCATTTAGTCTGAATCATATAGAAGGAATACTTAACAGTGTTAAAATCTAGGATGAGAGACTTTTTTTTAAAAAATGACTTGTTGAAACTTCCCTCCCCCAAAAAACATGTTATGGAGGAATATGTAAGCTAAAACACTGGCACATGATTATCAAATGTAATGCTAATGTCAGCTGAGTCACAGCAATTTTTAAAATATGGGTTTCTCCAAACTACAGCTGTACATCTTTAAAACACTATACAGATTCCACAATAAATATCATAGATCAAGAACTTACTATATAAGGGCCTCCCTGATGGTGCAGGGGTTAAGACGCAACCTATGAAGCTATTCGCAGCCACTGCAGCACAAGTTCGATGCTCTGGCCGGCCAGGGAGCAACCCGGCCAGGGAGCAACCTGGCCAGGGTGCAGCAGACCTCTCCTGACTCCCCTGCTGCACCCCTCAACAGTGTATTTCACTCAGTCTGCTTGTTCTGTTCCCCACTCTGTCTCTGGTGAACCCTCTCATTGCCTCCCCCACCTCTGGCCTGTACCCCAGTTCTTGTATGCATAAATAAATTTTTTTAAAAAAAGAACTTATATAAATATTCTAATGGCAATAATCTTATTTCTAGTTGTTAATAGGAATTTAAATGAGAAACTATGAAAAGACTTTAAAATCTTAAGTGTTACTAAACATAAAGGAGTGATAAAGAAATATTTTTTATCTCTTACATAGAAATTTAGCCAATAACAGACATTTATTTATTTATTTTTGGTCAAGGAAAAGAAAAAATGAAAGTGCACATCTAGGAATCTACCACAATCAGAAATTCAAGGCCCCATCTATGAGCACATCATCAATGTTCATAAAAAATAGTAGTGAGCTACGTGTAACGTCTATTGAACAAAGACCCTAATGTACTTTCATCTGCAGGTAGATCAGCTACCGCTTGTCTCTACTAAGTGTATCCAAAGATCATAGGAGAAACATACATACACTCAATGGAGCGATGATCTCATCCTGGGTCTCTTCACTAGTGCTATTTTCTTGCGGGCTTTTCTGTCCTGAGACTCTTAATTGAGTGCTAGCAAACAAACAACACAATTAGTTTGCAGCGTCTGGACTGCCTCTCCACCTTTAGGTTCACACTGTTCCGAATCTGAAAGGCTCTTGGGGAAAGTTTTAGAAAGTAAAGGACCAGAGGGCCTCCCTCGTGCAAGGGGTTGAGACTCAACCTATGAAGCTGTACACAGCCTCTGCAACACGAGTTCGATCCCCAGCCAGGGAGCAACCCACATGGCGAAGCAGACCTCTCCTGTCTCGCCCGCTGCTCCCCTCAGCAGTGTATTTCAGTCAGTCTGCCTGTTCTGTTCCCCACTCTGTCTCTGGTGAACCCTCTCAGCCCCCCACACCTCTGCCCTACACCCCAGTTCTTGTATGCATAAATAAATCTTAAAAAAAAAAAAAAGAAAGAAAGTAAGGACCAGAGTGAGACTCGACACTCAATGCTACAAAAGATTTCAAGGAGGTTTTATGGCACTTGCTTTTATAACTTGACAAGATTTCCTCTTCTTTCTTTCTTTCTTTTTTAAATCTTAAGTCAAATTTCTGGGTCGATGTTCTCAGAAAAGTGAAATCAGAGTATTCTATTTCTTTTGTTTCCCGACTCCTGCCGTGAGGGACTAATAGAAAAATAGCTTAAATTTTGAGGTGCCCAAAAGGCATGGGGGTTATTATTTCAAGCTACGCACCTCAGCGGCCCAGAGCCGCTACCTCTCAGCCTGCTCTGCTCAGCCTTCTCGACGATCTTCGCCAAATCATGCCCTTGGCCACTTCCTTTCGCGCCTGAGAGAGGGCGACTCCTTTCAAGGCGAAAGCCTGGGGAGGCCGCCCGCGGGCCTCTGGGGTCCCTGGCGTCGAGGCCCAGGTGCCCCCCGACCCACCTGTCCCGGGTGCCGCCCCACAGGTCAGCCAGGCCGGGCTTCCAGTGGGCAGGGAGGCCTCGGCCAGGACCTGAGGGGGCCTCCACCTTCTCAAGGGTGCCTAGATCTGGCGTCGGGGTCAGGTTAAGCCTTTCGCAGGCCCGCTTCTTGCGGGTGTAGACCTGTGGCCACAGCGCCATCCCACCCCGGGCCTCGGCGCCCCCGGGCCCTCGGTGGCCTCTCCACGCGTGGCCTTCCTCAGGAACAGAGCTACAGTCGGAGGGCGGCGACGGCCAGGACGGCCGACAGGGCAGCACGAGAGGAAGGTGAGGGAAGCTGGGCAGCCCCGGCCGGCCCAGGCACTCGACCTAAGCCGCCCGCTCCGCTCCCGCGTTTTTATCGCGGCCAAGATGCGCAACGGCTTCTGGGAAGACGCGGAGAGGCGCCGGCGGCCCCGCCCACCAGGAAGCGCCCCGCCAGGTGACGCGCTGCGACCTGCAGGGCCCCCAGGGCAGGGGGCTGCTTCGAGGACTGAGGGGGAACCTCGCAGAGCCTTCTCCTCCGGAGGCGCCCATGCTTTCGATTTCCTCTTTAGCCTGATGGAGCCAACGCGTGGTTCCCACGCCACTGCCGCTCTCCTTATTGGCACTGCTGTAAGGCCCTTCTTGGTAATGGAGTTCTAAGTCTGAGCACAGGGAGTCTAACACGTAAGCCCGACTCTGTGCAGGAAGGTCGAAGATAAACGTGAAAGCGACAATAAGCATTCACCCAGACACCGGCGGTCCCCGGGGGCCGCCGTTTTGGGGGTGGGAGGGAAGATGCATCTGAGAATCTAACCAATTTTGGGTTCTAGGAAGTTTTCTTCTCGAGGACAGGCACCATATATATATATACATACACACACACACACACAGAGGTTGGATTATCTGGCTGCGTGTGATAAACATGCATATAATAATAAGCATCTTATTTTTTAAAAAAATCTTATTTCACAACACTAAAAAAATACCATTTGAAGAATTTACAAAAACTCAAGACTTTCTGTGAAACTCCAATACTGTGTTGTGATAAAATATTGTTATAATAAATATACTATATAATATTTTAGTGATTATTCACTCATATATTTTAACCTCCTTGTAGAAATGCATAACAAGCAATTTAATATATGATTTAAAACAACTTTGTAAAAAACAGAAGGTAGGCTTTCTTACCCCATTAGATACAGTGTTTACAGTCACTGAATTGATACTCAGTACCTTACTTTGTGTTAAGTATTGTGGTAGGTCCTGGGGATACAAAGGTGAATTAGAAAAGGTCCTTAAATCAAGGATCTCACAGTTTTGCTGCGCTATAAAGCAGTTTTTATATTACAACATGCTTTCTTTTGTCACAACAGTAATATGCTGAGTCTGTAGTTCACAAGCCAGTTCTCCAGGCTCTCCTGTTTTCCTTGGGGGGGGCGTGTATTGTGAAAAAAACAAAGTTCTTAAATGACCTTTATAAGATCTTGGTCCTGGGATGCTCTGTGCCTAGTAATGGAAGAAATTTTGGGGGTGAGGGGGAAGACAAACAACAGCTTAAAGCAAAAACCACTCTAATCTTCAGTGACCCTATTCCCTAGAATTCTGTCTTACTGTAGTGAATTACACTCACTGAAGTGCTATCAAGGAAGGATTTATGCAAATCAATGCATAGGGTCTCAAACTGGAATAACCTTCCTTAGAGATTACCTAGTTGCCACCACATTTTGCAGCTGAGGAAACCACAGCATTAAGGAGGCTCATTATTACAGATGGTTGGCATAAGTGGCGCAAGTCTCCAGGCATTTGGCCAGTGTGCTTGTCATGTTCCCATCACTCTCAACACATAGCTGGGGAAGGGTTAGGGAAGCAAGGAAAGGAACTTGAAGCCCTTGAGTAGTAAGGAGAGGGTGAGGGACTAGAAATTGATGTGTTCTTTTTAAATCTTCACCTAGAGCCAGCCTATGGAAAGGAAAGGAAATGTGTTCCAACAGCAGCATGATACGGTGAGGCAGAGAAATCTCAGCTTGGTGATTTGGCTACCCCCCAATCCATTCCCAAATACAAAAATGCAAGAGTGAGCATTTAACCATGAGTATTAAATTCAATTTTTCTAGTTCCCTGTTCTACTACTTCCATATCTAGACTCAGAATTCTGCCGTTGGTGATTAAATTCACAGTGTGAGTTTGACTAGGTTTGAAACAGTCTTGGAGATACTAACTTCCATGGGAAAAAATTCCAAATTTTGACAAGAGTTCTGAAGAAAGCATTTTGGAAAAGAGCCAGTTTGTGTATTTGGGGTTCTCTTGGAGCCCAGAGCAAATGTTTACTTATGGAATAACTCACTGAATAGCTCACTTTTGGCACCATCAAACTTTATGGTCCAACTGAAAGCATTTATTTTTGCTTAGTTGACAAAAATGGAAAATAATCATAGTGATAAATATAACTTCAGGTTTTGCAGTATTAATGCTTTGCAACATATCAAAGAGGGTTAGGGGGATTTTCATTCAGTAGACATTTCTTGAGCATTTACTACTGGCCAGCTCTTCTGCACTGAGGCCACACCCTCAAGCGACTCACAGTCTGAATGGGAGTGGGGCAAAGGGACCATCAACCAGTCAGTATGTGGGAAGCTTCTGAGAGAAAAGGATAGCCAAGCCCAGTTTTAATACTTAGGGGTTGGACAGGGTGGATTAAAGGAAAGGGCAGCCTATGAAAAGGTGACTATGTACTGTATGAAGGTACAGAAAAGCACAATACCTTTAGGGCGATGTGGTTTGACTGGAGCTGAGGCTCTGTTGGGGAAGGAGAAGGGAAGAGATGCTAGGCTTTGTGTATTAAACCAGTGAGACTGAACTTTGTCCTGAAAACTATGGGAAGTCATCAAAGGAATATTAAGCAAGAGGGTAGCATGACCAGATTTTCAATTTAGAAAGATCGCCCTTACTGAATCTGGGTAGTGAAATTTGAGTAAGCTGGGGTCAAAACAGGAAGACTAACTACTAAAGCCCTGTAATATTCTCGACAAGGATGGATGACATTGGCCCCCAGCTACACTAATACTTTCAAGAATAGAGAGGAGTGGATGATAACAAAGACACTGAGAAGGCAGAATTTAAACAGCTTTTAAACACTTTTTAAAACACTTTTTTAAAAAGTGTGCCAGTTAACTTGTGTATAGGTAAAAGACATTATGGAAATTCTGTGTAAGGGCTATCATGATGGAAAATTTGAATACAGTTACTTGTTTGTTTAAAAGCATAAAATGATTTAAATTCAGGACACATTTGGTGCAGACCAAGGAGAGCCTCTCCGGGGACACCACAAGTCTTTGGAGTTTGGGGATCTTACAGGGGATGTAGAATATGCTGACTAGTGATATGTTTATCATAGCACTAGATGATTACCACATTTCTAACATCGGGACCACATTATGTAAATAGTAATTATGTGCAGCTTTGAGAAACAAAAAAATCTTTATTTTTTACAAAAGTTTTCATAAATGCATCTTATATATGATGTGCATGCTATTATAACAAAGCAACTAAAAATAGAATTACAGTTAAGATACTTTTATGCATATTTAAAAAGTAATATTTTAATCTCTTCAACTTTTAAAAATTGAAAGTAGAATAAGCATCTCTTCAAAAAATATCTATTTTCCCCCATGCAATTGTTGCAGTAATTTAACAAGGAAAATTAAAATCACCAGTCAAATGAATGTTTAAAAGTCTCTGTCACCTCATGAAAACCTTTTCAGTTTGGAATCATTTTCAGAAATGTTTGTATTCCAGAAAATGTACCTATTGGCGCTGGGTCAGTGTTCTAACTGAAGCGTTTCTCACTTAGGGCTTTGTCCCTCACTTGAATCCTTAATCCCGTTCTTACTGCAGTTAATTGTAGATTCACAGAAAGCAAACTTGAGAGAAAATTCAGACTACTGGAATTGGTTTTTTCCTGTTTATGTAAATGCTTCCTTAAAATAGAAATAGGCAAGAAAAAACACAGCAACTTAGCCCAACATATAGCTTGTCAGTTTTATATCGTTATTCATTTTGTTCCTGAGATAGTAAGTTTGTAAGTAGTCTGTTTTCATGCAAACAATACATTTTCCCATTTTTCTTTACATTCATTTCATAGTGTTTTAAATTCGAAACAACGATCACATTTGTGCTTTATACACTTTGAAAATAAAGAATAATTCATTTTCTTTTCTGGATAAAAGAAAAGAATTACTGGGTGTTTTGAGGGGTAATACAATCAACAATCAAATTGAGTTGCTAAAACATTATTTGGCCATTAAAATTGCAATATGGAAAGTTCTATTTTTTCTCATGCTTGTAGTTTTTACCTAAATTTAGAAAGGTTGACTTGTTCATATAAAGAAGACATGGCATGTCTGTCTATTCCTTGAACGTTTGTAAGTTGCTAAACATGTGAAGCTAAGCCTATAATCACACCTGATTTCAGAGGTTAGACTTCCTCTCTCACCTGAAGGGAATCACAATACAATATAAATGTTATTTCTGACAAAAGAGAAAACTTGGTGTATAATTCTATTTTATAGTACTCACAAGATTAGTTTGTAAAATATAACAATTACTAGCACATTTGAATGAGAAACAGCATGTGTAGGCTTAAGGAATTGATCTCTGCTATGGTTCTAGACTTAAATGGGATCTGATATTCACCATGAATGTGAACATCTTAAGTGCATAGCCTTTTTATATATTGGTTAAAGAGAAATGCAGACTTTTCCCTCTCAGTATAAAGCTGGGAAATCTGAAGCAAGGAGGATTTTTCCATTAATACATATTATTTCATTTCTCCTTTATTAAAAAAGTTCAGTGGAGTTAAAGAGAGGAATAGATAAATGTACATGCAACATATTTAGGCCCCACTGTTGATTTTTCTCAGCACATCTTCAGTAACCTATTTATTAGCCCACATGTGATTTTTCACATAGGTCAGGGCAGGTAGTAGAAACCTAAGGTCTTTAAAGTGAGAAAACGGAATTTTAGGTTGTTCATAATCAATCATATCTAACTATGATGATGTGTAAATAGAAACAAAATTTTGTTTAAAAGTATTTGCTTATATACATTGTTAAAATTCATTTGGAAACAAAGCTAACAGTGAAATTTTAGTTGAGTGTAAGGACAATGGGAAACAGCTTCATTTTCTTTGAAATGTGAAGCTATTTGTCTTTAAAATAGTGTGAATATCCAACACAGGTAATGCTTTTTCTCTTTTAATTTGTCAAATATATACTAAAATATAAAAAATTAATTTTATGTA